GGGTATTTGAATATGACAAGTTTTAGAAAACGATCTCACGTCCTTTACTCACGTTTATGGAGTCCATTAGAAGTGGACAATTTTAATTCTTTTGTGTAATACACTATAAAAACTTAATTAAAAATTAAAATTTCAAGTTGCCACGAAAATGTTTCTCTTGATATCATGGCGTCATACTAGTATGTGACGTCACACGACTGTCATTAAAACGTCAAACGATACAATATAATGTCACTTTGGGCGGAAGTTTACTAGCGTGACCATGGAGCAAAAAAATCATTTCAGTTATTATTTCTTTGTTCTTTCACAATAGTAGAATCGCTGCTTATATTCATATTAAACACAGATGCCAACAATTGGTACATTATTTTTCATATTGTCAAATAGCCATTTTAATGGGTTAAACCTAGTTTTAATTATATAGAAATTTAGTAAATTTGCTGCAAGTAGAGACAAACAAAAAAGCTTATAAAATGAAAAGTACTGGGCTCAAACTAAATATTATTTAAGGGATGTAAGGGCAAGTATCTCACGTCGAACAAAACGAATCACTCAAATCTGATCGAAATCTTTGAGTTCAAATAATCAGTGATCAACGATACAAAGTATCGTGAAAATTACATCGCTCTAGTTAGCAAAAATGCTTATAAAATAATTCTACTGTGAGTAAATATATTTCCAAACGCATAGTTTTTTTGAGTGTGTATGCTGTTGGTCGCAAATGACCTTTACAGCGTCATCGGTTTGCGGATGGTGAGATCCTAAGGGGACGAGCCGAGAATTATTCTCGGCTTGAGGTAGTGCTTCTAGAGGTATTCCAGGCAGATGGAGTCTCCCCACGGTGGGAGTCTCCTCTCCGTCTGCAGCCTCTAGACCACTCGAAACTAAGGGGGTCGGCTCAACTAGAGGGCGTCTCTGAGACTCGGACCTCGGCTCTAGTTAGCCGTTGTCGTGGGGGCGGGGAAAAACGCCCAGGTACCTCTACCTGGTATAGCGTGTCGTGTGTAGACCGGCTCTTCGCACTCTTATCCTACGGGTGCGGTGTCTATCAATGCTAAGCTAGGGTGCACGTTTGCTAGCTGTGTAGTATTGGTGTTTGTAGCTTGTGTGGGAGGAGTCGGAGGCGCGTTGGCGCATGTGATTTCGTCGTCGCGGTACTTTAAGACGTGCCTAGGCCGACGGAATCTGAGGGACAGACACAGAGTGATTGTCTGGAAGTGTATTTATATGTAGCTCACTAAGTGTTATAAGTTATAATGGTCTGCAACAAAAATATATGTTTATGGTTGAGCAATGTGAGTGTTTGAAATATTATAAATAGTAATAATTGTAAATACACATGAAAATATGGTTCATAAGCCAGCTTCATGACTGCGTAGGTAATAAGTTTTTGCTCAAGTTAACATTTATGTTTAGCTTGGGACCGTCAAAACTTTATATGGTAGATTGGCCGATAGAAGTCTGCAAGTGTATTTATATGCTGAATATCTCAAAAGAGTAGTTATATATTTATCTTATAAGACAATTTTTTTATTGATTATATTTATGCTGTTGTATCTTGTATATTCTACCATACTCGCAAATATTTGCGATTGTATACTACGGGGCGTTTATTTTATGAATTATATTATAAAAATGCGTAAAAACAAAATAAGGCCCTAATTTATTGAATATCATATAATGTTTGTGCCGATGCAAATAAGTTTATGACAAATTATTTCCTTGACCAAATAATACACAAAATTTATTTGAAATCTACTTTTCTATCTAGCTTCTTTGCTCAATGTAATGGTATTACGACTAAAAATACGACTTTTACGATTTGTGCATAAGAACAAACAATCAAAAATAATTATTATGATGTTACAACACTTTCCACTAGAGTTTACTTCTTAATTAGGTTTAGGTTTAAAGATCTTTATTATTCACAAAGACAAACATTGCCACTTATGTGATAACACAATTTCACTTAAAGTTAGGTTTATATTAGTTAGGTGAGGTTCGTCGTCGTCATATTAAATGTAGGACACATAATAATAAAATAAGTAGTAAGAATAACTAGTGTAGTAGTACCTAATTGTGATAATTATATGTAAATATGTAGGTATAAGTTTACAAATTTAAGTTTTGTACATGTTAGGTAGGTAGATATTATAAAAATTGTAGTCATTGTAATATAGTAACTAAGTAGTAATAACATAGGTTAAAGAATGTAGGTACATGTCACCATTTCATACATTCAATAGGTAGTAATTTTATTTACACCTATATTTTGAGTTGGAAGTATTCAGATAATTTTTTCTTAAATGTATAAAATGAGTCAACATTTTTTATATGTGAGGGTATATTGTTGTACAACCGCGCTCCGTTAGTAGTAATCATAGACTTGCCGTACGAGGTTCGGTGCTTGGGTATGACGAGGTAGCTAGCTCGCCGACTGCTGCGCTCGGTAACTTGTTTTTGTTTAGTGAACGTAAGGTTAGTATGGATCGTTCTATTAAAATATTTTCTAATAAAAATGCAAATATTACATTTATATAGATTTTCGATGTTCAATAATTTAGTTTCTGTATAAATTGTTTTAGTTGGCGTTAAATAGTGATAATTAAAGAGTAGCTTAATGATTTTATTTTGTTGTCGTTGTAGTTTGGCCAGTTTAGTCTTGGAAGCAGTTCCCCATATTTCTATCAGATATAATAAGTGTGGTTTGACAAGACTATTGTAAATTGTGTACCTTAGGGTACGGGGTATGCATTTAGTAATATTACGAAGCTTTCCGCGTAGTGATATTAATTTATTTTTTATTTGTTCTAAATGGGTATTCCAGTTTAATTGGCTGTCAATATATAGACCGAGATATTTTTCGTGAGTTTTCTCTTGAAGAGGTACATTGTTAATAGTGAGCGGTGTAAAAGGGGGTATTGGTTTATTTTTAGCTTTAAATATAACATAGCATGTTTTCGTGACGTTGATAGTCAATAAGTTATATTGAAACCAGTTATTTAAGGTGTTGAGGTCTTCTTGAGCTTGAGATAGTAAATCGTGAATAGATGATCCAAAATAAAACAGAGAAGTGTCATCTGCGTACAAAGTTATATGACCATGCAGACCCAGATCAAAGATGTTATTTATATATGTAACAAACAAGAGAGGGCCAAGAATTGATCCCTGTGGGACTCCACAAGTGATAGGTAACGCGTTACTTTGGTTGTTGTTATCCGCCCTGACTATTTGTGTTCTACCTGTGAGATATGATTCAAACATTTTTAATGCTTTGCCAGTGACACCTATGAATTCTAATTTTTTAAGAAGTAGCTGATGACTTACGGTGTCAAAAGCTTATTTAAGGTCAATAAAAATACCTAAAGCAATATTCTTTTGATCAATATTTTGTTTTAACTTAGTGACAAGGTCGATGGTGGCTGTAGTAGTGTTACTTCTAGGCCTGAAACCATACTGATGTTTAGAAATAAATTTGATTGAATGTAAGTAATTCTGTAATCTACTGTGTAAGACTTTTTCGAAAATTTTTGATAGAACTGGGAGCACCGATATGGGCCTATAATTGCCTGGGTCAGTAGTAGATCCTGATTTATGAATTGGTGTAACCTTAGCTATTTTTAAAGTATCCGGAAATATACCATCACACATAAGCCCGTTTATACATACAGTTAGTTTGTTACTTATCAAATTCCTTATAGATTTAATAGCTTTGGTACTTATGCCGTCCAAACCAACACTACAATTTGAGTCAAGTTTAACAATAATATTTGAGATTTCTTTTATAGTACAAGGTTCAAACGACGATATCGTATTTGTTGCGTGGTTGGTTTGTGGCATAGCATGGTAGTAGTTATCATGATAATGTTTTGGTATACGTTCGGCCAGTTGCGGCCCAATATTAGCGAAATACTCATTAAATATTTGACATATGCGGTTTGGGTCTGTCGCTACCTGAGATTCAAATTCTAGTTTAGACGGAGAACTTTTATGAGAAAATTTGTTAGCAGCTAAGGTATTAACTAAGTTCCACATTTTCTTCGGTTTGTTTATACACTTAGTAAATTCTTTGTAATGATATGAGTCTCTCGTTTCTTGAATAAGTCTGGCTACATGTTGTCTTTTCTTGAGAAACTCTTCCTTCACTTCCTTCGCTTGTGGGTTTTCTTTCAGTGTTGTCCATAGAATATTCCTTAAATTGATTTCTTCGATAACTTTGTTGTTAACCCAATCTTCCTTTGGCAGGTTTAGGATCTTTGTTTTTTGTACTTTGCTGTCCTCGAGGCATACTTTTATCTCCTTTTCAAGTGTAGTATAGTTGTCTTTACATATCTTAATTAGAGTACTGATATGTAATTTAATTTACATTTATCTACATTAGTTGTTCACTATTTTAAAATAAGAATTATCGTAGATTTTAATTACAATTTGCCTTTACTCGATGAGCTCAATGTCGCCAGTTGTTAGCGCGTTCGGCTGCGGTCGTTGAAGCTGAGCAATTTCCGCAGTGGTCGGTCATTGGATGGGTGACCAAAAATTTACTATCTAGAGTTCCTCCGTGCTTCGGAAGGCACGTTAAGCCATTGGTCCCGGCTGCATCTGCAGTCGTTAGCACCCACCAACCCGTACTGGTTATACTACATCAGTAGATGATGATGAAGATGATGATTGCCTTTACTTCAATCAATTATACACTCATCACACTCAAGCACGTTTACACATACGAACACGCACACACATATACGCACATGCATACAGACAGACACGCCACCGAACCGCTTATATAAAATATATAAATTTTAGTTTGTTTTTTTATAATGTTTTAAAAATCTAATGAAATAAAATTAAGACCTTACCATACGATATAGTAATGATGCTATAGAAGAGTGATTCCTTCTAGTACAGTTATTAAACACTTAATAGAAGAAACCTACCCTGGTTTAGTGTACAAAAAAAGTGGTATCGTAATTTTTTGATTGAATTATTGCGTTTTGTTCCAGCTGTCGCGCTTTGCGCATACGCCGCAGATGTCAAAGAGAAGGAGAATAGCGCGGAGCCTGCGCAGAACAAGGACAAAAGACAAACACAGGACGAGCTCGTACCTGCCAATGTTGTATACAGGGTGCCCAGAAAACAGGTGAGTTATCTAACTTAGATGATGTCACAAATTTAATTCGATCAATTTTCTTAAAAATAAGGAGATATATACATCTCGATTTGTCATGGTTCTATAAATCTGACCCGCGCATATATATTCGACCAATTTTCTTTAAAAAAAAAGGAGATAGGTACATCTCAATTTTCCACGGCCAAAGATAAATCTACCCCGCAGATTTCTAGAGCTTACTAGCTGACCCAGCGAACTTCGTTCCGCCATAAAATGGGGACAGGTGGTAGAAGAGAAAATTTAGAGATGCATTTTTTGAAGTTATACTTCTTTAGCCGCGTTATGAAAAAATGATGAGAGTGAAATTTTAAGATGCGCGCGCATCACTGTAACACAAAATATTAACAGCATGAAGTTGGTCGCTTTAGCGACCCACTTCATGCTGTTACTTTTGTGTTTACCGCACATTCGTATTTAGTGGGTGCTAACGACTGCATTGTGAAGGCCTATCAAAAGTATTTATTAATCTGGAACAACGGAACCAAAGCGCGATTCAGGAGACTACAGCGCCATCTCTTCCATTGGTGTAGTAGAACCAAAAACCACATCTTTATTTTTTGTAATAAAGTAACAGTTATAGGTATTCATATTTATAATATTTATCCACATGTTTCTAGTTTGTATATTCGGAATACGTGTTTGAGTTTCATACAAGTGCAAATCACATGTGTTCTAATAAATTATATTCAGTAGCGATTTTAATTGAATATTTTGATTATTTATTTATTTTTTCAAATTAAAACTGAACTTTATTGACTGTGTCCTTTTCCAGACTTTTTATTAATTTATTGTAATTAATTATTTGCATGCAATTAAAAACTAATTTTAAACGATGCCAAAGAAGGATAACTTCTCACGCGCCTACATAAGTACACGCACCCATTTTTTTTAATAGACCCCTATTGTGTAACGTAGTGTTCTATCAATTTCCTGGAATAACATTCCTCCTAACCCATATGTAAAAAATGTTACCATACCCAATAGTTTGCATTTTGGCGCGAAGCCGCATTGTATGTTTCAGAACACTACGTTACAGGTGGACAACCATTACACGATAGATATTATTACCGTGACCATTATCACATAAGGATATGAAAAATAGATAGTAGCCGATTCTCAAACCCACGGCATATGCATATAAGTTTTCATAAAAAACGGGTAAGGCCGTTTCGGAGGAGTATGGTAACTAACATTGTGACACGAGATTTTTATATATAAGATAATGTACAATAGGCTCTTTTTTTGGCTACTATTTCTTTATAATGTTTCTGGCATAATTCTCGAAACCTTAAATCAAATTTGCCATCAGTGTATCCTTCTCATGAGCTATACAGAATTAGAAAGAGGAACTTTTGTCATTATGTTTACAGATTCATGCCAGAATCAGTTTATTTAACAGTAAAAAACGATGTTTTTGAAGGGGAACTTCTTTACGCACGCTTGATTTGGGGGATAAGTTACGAAGTTACGAAAAGTGTGTTCGGGCGAGGCGAACGGTAGTTGTGTGGGGGGTTTAAGTAAGAGAAAGCAGTGTATGCGCTCATTTTCTTTCTCTTATAGCTAGTAAATAAAATATGTATAGTACATACATATATATATTGTACATAGATATATACAGGGTGTTACAAAATACAAATAAAGCTTGAAGGGCGTTGAAGTACATCATATAAGGAGTCTTCTCTAATTTTCTTAAAATATTTGCATGAAGTTTTAACTTTTTATAACAACAGTTATTTATAATGATCTCCGAACTAGTGACGTGTTTTCAAATGATCGATATTTTTATTAATCATAAAATTCATTATTAATCAGCTGTATAAGTATACATACAAATAGAGCTAAATAAATTTTACTTCAGTCGTGTGGTCATAAGCACATACGTTTTTTTGCTTTTTAATACAGAATGAAGTTTTGAAAGTAATTCTTAAATTGATGGTAGCATACTGCCTCCTACTAAACTTTTTGTAACGTATCATCTTAAAAGGTACATAATAAGCTAACGAAAAGCGTGATGCGAGATAAAAATAACACAAAGAGATTGTACTTTCCAATGTCATCAAGAGATCATTAATTATATTTTTTTTGAACTTTTTTGTACTGTGTCATAAAAATGGCATTTAACAACCAGAGAATGTTAATACAAAAATGGTATTAGATGTTTTTTCTAAATCATGCTCAAAGCATCAAATCGAATTTAATTATTATGACAACCTTTTTCGAGATTAATCGACATAGCTGTACTGACCGAATACGTGCGAGCAGCAGCCGGCAAAAGTTGTATGAAAATCCATAAAATCAAAATCAATATCGTTTATTCAGTCTAGACTGTTACAAGCACTTGTGAATGTCGAAAAGCTACGCCATAGGTTCCCAAATCTACGGCGAGAGACCTTGTACTGAGAAGAACCGGCAAGAAACTCAGACCTATACCTAACTGTCGTGGTGTAGCGGCCAAATAAATTACATAGTACTCATATCTGTCGTGTAATTTTAAAATGGAGCAATCTTTTATTCCGAAACATGACATCCAAGGAGGTAGGTTCGCACGGCTGGTGCATTTAGCCAATGTCAATTGTTAAAATGTTTACAAAATCTATAGCACTCGTGGTCAAAGTAATATATCAAGTCAAAGTAAGTGGCAGTCAAGGCCCCCTTTCCCTATGTTTCAGTAAATATGTGGGCATTTACTAGAAACTCCCCGTGGACTTCTTGAGGGAACGTCGAAAAACACTTTCCGCTATTTTGTTTCACTTGCCAACAGTTGTGCATGTTCCCGAACACTTAGTGGTTAATAATCCACCATTATTAGACACTAACATCCAACAACAAAACAAAACTGCTAAAGTGACGCTTCCCGATCCCGCCAAAAAGTCTAGGTTGTTACATAATAAAGGTTTTATTTAAATTTCGAACTTGCAAATATAAAGCCGATTATGGAAAAATCGCTTTTAAATTTCAACAATTGTATAGTAAGTATTTTCAAATAAAAAGAATTTGATGCTGAACTTAACGTATTGTATTGATTTATTAATTATTATCAACCACTTTCTAGTAGAAATAAATAATAAGTTTAACTTCCAAACTTTGAAGTATACGTTATGCTAGTTATATTGTCAAAAAAGTGTTAACAGAGGTATTTTTTTTTCGAAAATCGTCTACAAACAATCTATTTAATGAATGGTGTTTTCTTGGATTACTATTTCAACACTCGATGTCGCTAGATATCTTAATTACATATAAACTCAGAAAACTTGAGATACCCTGCAATTTTGTTAAAAACAAACTCACTTTTCAACGCGGAATCAGCGATGGGCTTTGAATTTTGTATTCTAATTTAAAATCATACGCGGATTCCGCGTTCAAAAGTGTGTTCGTTAATTCTTACAGAATAGCACGGCTGAAGCCAAAATCTTAGCCGTTGTACGAACCGATATTTCTTGTCCATTGTCACTTGATTTACGTGTCCTTAAAGTTACCAATCATTCATTAACTTCCTTCCCACAGAAAACTTAATGGGGACACGCTGGCGATACAAATTATAGCGACAAAGTTCTATTGATTACTTCATGAGTTTGTACCGAACCAAGAAAAGTGTCATTATCTGTTAGCTTCTAAGTTTATTCCTCCTTGTTATAAGGTTGACAATCGATTGACAAAATTTGTTGCTTTGTAGTGACATGATGTCTCGTTGCTTGTACATCGATAATGTCCTGTGTGGCGCCTGCCCTTTCACTTTTGCGGCCCAGATTTCGTCACGAAATGTTCGGCCCTTGGTATAGTATAGTTACTCTAACTATAGCTGTTCTCTTGGCTATAGTTAGAAGATTACATTGGCATGAGATTTAAACCTATCCTACTAATGTTATAAATGTGAAAGCTTGTATGCTTGTATGTTTTGTGATGATCGGTGATCACTTACCATCAGGTGAGCCGTCTGCTCGTATGCCACCTATAACATAAAAAAAACAATGATTTGTTTGTTTGTTACTCAATCACGCAAAAACTACTCAACAGATTTGGATGATATTTGGTACGCATATAGCTTGTGACCTAGATTGAGGCCTAGGATTTTTTATGCCAGTAAAATGTCAGGTTCCTGTGGGATTCTCAAAAAACTAAAGTTAACACAGACGAAGTCGTGGGTGGTCGCTAGTCATTGAATATTACTCTGGCTGTTAAACAAAGGTTGGACAGATCTGTAGCCTGGTACACCTATCAGAAAAACATTAAGCCCACGAACGTAAGAGCGATATAGATATTCGAATAGATTGTGAGTGCGGAATGTCAATGTCAAATTTTGTATGGAAACTTGAACAACAGCGCCACAAGGTACGTAACGAGAACTGAAAATCAGTAGGCATTTGAAAATGATATTTCGGAATCGCAAACTATCCGAATTCGATATTGGTTCGTGTGAAGGGTACAGTTTTTGTTTTATCCTAGTTGATTTCGAACGAAAGCATTCACAAGCAACTTATTATATTTTATCCTTAGTTATATAAGAGAGTTGTTTAAAGTATCTTTACAGGGAGCTTGCTTTTATTATACGACTGCTCAAAGAAAAAGTGTAATGGGTTCATGTATTTATGTACGTTTTATATAAAGACTCAGAAAATTATTCCACTTAAATTGATCGACATCAGCGAAGATATGATTACTCTCTTCGCGTCTGCGTAGCTTGATTTAATTTAATGCCTTAAACTAATAATATTAATAGGTAAATACATATAAACAGGATTTGAGCGTGCCTTTTATTATGCGAATGGTCTGAGGAAGCACCAGATCTTGCCAACCGTAAAACTGAAATTTTAAGCCTGACTTGCTCGTTATTATATTGCCAATCTACAGTATCCGTCAGTACCGGCACAATACATACAAGAGCAGTAGCGTAACTCAGTCGTTTTCTTGAAATAGATACCTACGACTGAGCGGAGCACTAGGGTTGGTACACTCACGGAAAGACCCGCTCT